GAGAGCAACCGGATGCAAACTCAGAGTTTTCACCATAAAAGCTTCTATCTGGGAGATTTTATGTCTTTGTTTTAAACGTTCGAAGCTGAGGCGTTGATTAGAGACTGTAAGCAACAACAAAATTCTTGACTTTCCTCTCTTTAGGGTGTTTTAAATCGCCGTCTCAGACATGAAGTCAGCCTGTGGATGGGGAGGCCTTCATAAATTACACAGATATGGAGCCAGAAGCAGACGTCGCCATAAGATGTTATTTATTTCCCAAAATACCAGACATAAATATGTCAGATTTGAGCTGTTTTGTGATTTTGTTGTGACAATCCAAAACGTTGCTATGCTTGTTGGGAAGAACAGGGAGAAGAAACACATCAGAAAACACCAAATCAGTAAAACATTAACTCAATATGAAAACTGCATTTCATGCTTCTGAAAGATAATTGGCCAAACATGATAAATTGCAGGGCTTCAAACCAGTAGTGTCTTTTTCAGTATTTTAATAAGGAAAATATGAACATTTGCAAAAATATTTATCAGGACAGCTCATAAAAAATCTCAGTTTAAAGTAGATCTAGTTAAGTGTTAGCTAGCATGATCATTCAGTGCAAACTGAGTCTACAGGGAAAAGGACATCAGTTAGTTAGCGTTTAGTCAACACTGTGATCAGCGCAGCTTCGACTTGATGGTAAACTTCATGATCCTGAACGATCCTTTTATCTCCATGGGAACCATTCATCAATGTGAAACTCCTGGATTGACCTACTTCTTCCTCTAAGCTGCAGTTTCTGATCTGCTGGCTCCTTCAGACTAGCCAGCAGCAATTAGCAAACACCTGGTGTAACTGCACATTATAGAAGCTACTTCTCAGGGTTCGGGTAGCATTTTTATCACAACTAAAGGGAAGATAGTTACTTCACTGTGCTACAACATGACACTATGTGGCTGGAAAATACATAATACTGCCCCTTTAACAATGAAAAAGTAAAACAATGTGAGGTGTAGAGATCAGTGTTGTTATAGCATGTTCTGTATGGGTGGTTGCACGTACACTATACCCAAGATGATGTAGAGCTTCACTATTCATGGACTCCAAATTACTTACAAAAATTTGCATATTTGCAGATTTTTTTTATAGAAGATAACTGCAATATTTCAATGAAAATGCAGCTTGGGAAACTGAAATGCCCCAGAATGCTTCTTCACAAACCAGAAAGCAAATGGCAAAGGAGCCAATCCAGGAGCAACATTCATTTTCCATGCCAGTGATTGGCTGTAACCCCAAAAGCAACGATGATGTAGACGAAACAATCAGCAGCACACAGCCTTGTCTGGAAGATGCAAACGTATTTACACTCTTCTAAAAACATGTCAGAACATGAAAAAGAGTATTTGACACACATGAACACACTAAATAAACAGCTCACCTATATGTTCAATTTTCATGTTGTGCTTGTTTTATTTACATTTAATGGCTTTTAAAACAGAAAAACCTTCACTGGTAACTGAATGCAAATATCTCTTCAAACCCCAAGTTCAAAGGAGAACATTCTTTATTTTTTCTATCACACCCAAGCAGTTGCTGACCATAAAACCTCACAAAAACACATAAAGAAATATTTAGTGATATTATGGAACAGATTAGAGGAAAGTAGCCTAATTTCTTTCTTTGGCATGTCTTTTTCTGGGTTGCATAGCCTTTGAAAACGGGAATGCAACATTTGACTTCAGTCCACTAATTATATCAAAGGGAGTAGAAAAACTTTTATTGAAAAAGAAATGGAAAATAACAAGGGCTGTTCATGCAAAGTCAGCAAAATGCAGCTTTAAATGGTGAAAAACTTACCACTTTCAGAATAAATTAATTCTATGTGGCTTGTTGCCCCAAATTGTTGTAAAAAAAAAAAAGGCCAAAATGACTGAGACAAGTTCTTTCTAATTCACACTTCATTGTATTTTGTGTTATTTTAGAATGTCTCTTAGAACAAACTGAACCCCTGCAATTTTAGGTTAAGGCTCTGATTTTACTTTACACACGTTTCCAAAAATAGCCGTTCAGTCCACAAATACGGTTTATGTTTTTTTCTAAAGATTAACTACTGACTCCTGACTTCCATCAGATCCATCACAATGTTCATTCTTTGGTTTTAAATCATTGATAGATTTATCCTTAATAAATAGTAGACATCATTTAAAGTCAAGGAGGTTTATGAGACCTTTCAGTGAAGGTTCTCATAAACCTCCTTTGAAGTTGACATAAATGATATGAAGAGTAAAGTATCTTGAGTTTACAATGTCTGCAGAAGAATAAAAGTAAGAAAACTCGGGGATCTTTCAAACCAATAAATGTGTCAAATGTGTTTATCTCTACAAAATATATTTGTGGAGACTTTACTAAAAGGCAAAGGAAAGTCACATTTAGTCTTATTAAGAAGATTGATTTGATCACTTCTGGTTATAAAAAAGGAAAGAATTTCTGATTATATCTACATGTTTACTAATTGTTCAGTCGTTTAAAGTGTCCAGTATCCAAGACAACATGCTGATATGATCCACTTCTTTAGCATATGTGTGTGTGTGTGTGTGTGTGTGTGTGTGTGTGTGTGTGTGTGTGTGTGTGTGTGTGTGTGTGTTATCAAAAGACGTAAGAAAAAATGTGCCTGTCGCCATGCTTTCTCTCCTTTATTTGATGTCTCTCTCTATTTTCTTTCTCGCCACAAAGTCTGCAGCTGCTGCCAAATTTCCTCTGTGGCAAAGGTGTGGTGCTACGGCACTGTCTCACACACACATTCCACTTGTTAAGTTACGGAAACGACTGGAGAGGGACATTCATGAAGCCTGATATAACAGCAGAAAAATGGGCTGCAGCTCCTAATGAAGTCAGGTTTCCAATTCTTTCCCTTGCAGAAAAACAATATTTCTAACTCAATTGTTCTTTTGTCAAAAGTGAAATTCAGAGCAGAAATTGTTGAATTTTGTGATAGACAAAAGTGAAACTTTTACAAAGAATAACTTTGTTACCAAATACAACATTTCAGAATAAAAATTTTTTGACCTGTAAACATGGTGATAGTGCGATGATTTGGCTCTATTGGCTGTGCTTGATGGAGTTCTTGGGGTGGCCTAGTTAAAGTCTAAAATGGAATAAAATTGTGATGCTGTGTCATGACTTAAAATTCACAATTTACTCTACAAAAACTATCTTAATGTGGCAGAATGTGAATTATTCTGATCTCCAGTTACGCCTGATGATACAAGTGGCACAACTAGTTATTAGGTTTGGGGGCATTTACTTTTTCACATTGTCAAGCTGTTTTCTCTTCATGAAAATTAAAAAATGCTTCATTTTTCAAGTACTCAAATTCTCTTAATGTAAAATGTGTTTGATTTGAAACGTAAAGAAGAATGAGTCTGTAAGGTTGCAAAAACATTTCAGTGTAAATGTTCATTTTTACTCTTCATGTTGGATGAGGACTGACAATATGCAGCTTACAGGAAATGAGACAAGAACGAAAAACACAAAGAGAAGCCAAAGGTTTGATACTGAAGTTGTCACACCTAAACAGTTACAGTAACTCTCAGCATAGATCCTTATGGTACACACACACACACACACACACACACACACAATGACAGTGAGCCTGAGACAACAGTGGTACGTGGGAGTAGTTCCTGGTTGGTCGAGCAGGAGGTTCTGAGACGCCACAGGAGCCTCCCATGGAGCTGGGCGTGGGGAGGGAAGTGTGTGTGCGTGTGTCTGTGTGTGTAGAGGTTATTATATTGTTGCGCTACAGCAGGGGTCCCCAAACTACGGCCCGCGGGCCGGATCCGGCCCGCCACGTCATTTGGTCCGGCCCCCTGAACAATGCCGGATCCGGCCCGCCTGCTCATACCAGAGAGCATTCAGTGTTTTTTTTCATATATTGTATTTTCCGGTTTATATGTGGATTTTTCTTCAACCACCAGGGGGCTTTTGAGAAAATGTGAAACTTACTTTCCCTCAATGGAATATATACTCGTCAGGCACCGTTTCACTCACGGTTTTTTCCATTTGCATTCTGGGTAAAAATCTATCCAAAAGTGTCGTCGTCTCCTCCCCCCCCCCCCCGACAAGAATTTTTTTGTTTTTTTTTATTGTAAAAACTAAAACCGGCCCCCGACCACAGAAAGGAACAGCTATGTGGCCCTCGCAGGAAAAAGTTTGGGGACCCCTGCGCTACAGGGTGGTTGAAATCGTTTTATGAAGCTCAACAAAGATAATAGTTCAAAATTAGTCTTCCTTTTCAAATTTCTGTTTTAAAGAGAAAATCATAATTTCATAATTTTTTCTGTGAAACATTCAATAATTTCATTAATAACAAAATGCTTTGCAGAATCTGCAGCAACTTACCTGTGATTACAATTAAAGGTGCGTTAATGGAAGCAGAGGATCCGGTGGGAGAACAGAACGTCCCAGCCGTCATGGCTGCCATGCCCCCCACCACCTCCAGGTCCCAGTTTTCCCAGTGAGTTGTTGTTAATCTCAGCCACTAATCATTCTGGTCGGGACTGTGGCTGGCTGTGTGACCACTGTCCTACCCTCAAATACACACACACACACAGAGAGACATGTTCAAGCACAAGAAACACACATCAGGCAGATTCACATGCCATTACTAAAAGTGTCTTTGTGTTTTTGTCTGTCATTTGTTGGTGAGGTTAATTATAAATGTGACATCTGCTTGTTTTATGCTACACATTAGAGGATGTGTGTGTTGTTTCATATGTGTGTGTGTGTGTGTGTGTGTGTGTGTGTGAGATGCTCCAGTCTCAGTTGGGCAAAAACAATGGAACCTCTCTGATTACATCTCCCTGAACAGGCGGACAGGGTGTGTGTGTGTGTGTGTGTGTGTGTGTGTGTGTGTGTGTGTGTGTGTAGTTCCAAGGGGGAGGAAAGGGTGGCCGTTAAGAAGGAAAAAGAGGGAGGCAAAGTTCTGAACTCCCCCTTCGCTGTCTCTCTCAGACAGACTCACTTCTTTCCCTCGCAGCCGCCTGGCATCTCATTGGTTAAGGCCCCAGCTATATATTTATCTGATTGGTCAGGGCGGGGTATATATACACAGCATGGGTCGGTTAAATCTGGCCACAAGTTTCAAAACTTTCAAACAAGGTGGAGAGACGGAGAGACGGATAGTCGGACGGCTTCGCTGACTGAGTGAAATCAACTGCTGAACCGCAAAATCCAAACAAGAGCTGTTGTCTTTTTGGGAAAGAAAAAAAAAGGAAGTGGACAAAAGAGGCAGAGTCTCTGGATTTTTTTTCTTCAGAGGGAATATCCTGCACCACAACTTTTGTTTTCTCCTTTCTCTCTTCTTTCCCCTCTCCTCTCAGATCTCGATGCTTTATTTTGGGATTTGTGCACCAAATCCGTCAGATTCCTCATTTGATCCTTCGGTCGTTTTCCATCTGAAACATTCAGAGTTTTCCAGCCAACATAAAGCAGAGATTTTCTGGACAGAACGTTAACCTGAGTGGGATGAATTTAACTGAGCCCAACCTGCCTAGAGAGGCCTCCCTGCATCCCAGTCAAATGCCCTTTGGAGGCCGCTGGACGTCGGAGACCCCGAGTCCCGCCTCCGACCCCGAGATGGATTTTGAAGAGAGCCTGTCAGCAGACTGCAGTTCTCCGGACGCCCCTGCAGAACCGAGGAGAGGCGAGCCCAGGATGGCTCTGACGGTGGGCTCCAGGGGACAGAGCCCCGACCTGACCCCGGGAGGGGGCCCGCTGGCCGGGGCGGGCGATGGGAAGGCCTCAGGGGCCGAGCAGAGGATCCGCAGGCCCATGAACGCCTTCATGGTTTGGGCTAAAGATGAGAGGAAGCGGCTGGCCCTGCAGAACCCGGACCTGCACAACGCCGTGCTCAGCAAGATGCTGGGTAAGACGAGCAGCAGCCTCAGCTTTTAACAAGCAAAGCAGTTATCATGTAATTCATGGCTAAGTTTACACATTTAACCTTTTTCTGTGTGCTAGATCTTAAAAGGATTGTATGAAAAATATTAAAGGTTAAGAGTTCAGACAAGTAAAAAATCTTACAAATGAATTAATCAGACATTTATTGGCCTTCACCAGTTTTTGGTTTCCTTCAAGATCTGATGAAATGACAGAAATAAACCACAGAAAACAGAAAAATGTGCTACCGAAACAGAAAATTAAAGAATAACAAGATTATCTCTATTAATGCATCAAAGCATATTCAAACTTAATCTTCAACTTTTATTGATCTGAAGCAAAATGTGTGAAAGCCTTTATTTTAACTGATGCATTTACAGGATGAAAATTGATGGAGTTCTTAGTTTGGATGCATTTCATTTTAATGGAAGCAAAATAAAGTTTGATTTTTAGACTTTGGCCTTGTTTGGGCATAATCAGCCAATTGAACAGTGAATTTGCAGTACATATCACAGCTTTTTAAAGGTATTTACATTAAATACAATATTTTGTGCATCTCACTTTTTGTATTTCTAAGCTAAAAATGTGAGCTGAAAATGAAAAATGCAACAATCTTCAGAAAATATTGGCAAACCATTTAGAAACCACTGTTACTGTACTGATTATAACTCTGCATACTGAAAAGTTAACCGTCATTAATGAGTGATAACAATAATATTTGTTTTAATAAATACTTTTTAATTACAAGCAACAACAATAATCTTATATAATAAAACTGTTTATGTAAAAGAACTGCTGATGTCACTGTGTTAGACATACTAACTAATATTCTTTAGTCTTTATTTTATTGTATATTTGTCTGGTTGTAAGCTGAGCTTCAGATTAAAACGTGGGAGCTGCTCATGCAGACCCACTGTGCAGCTGGAGCTCATCTGCAGCTTGAAATGTTCAGAGTCACTCAAATCCAAACCGCAAGTTTCTGGGAAAAAAAAGTTTGTTTTGCAGATCTGGAAGCAGCCAACATGTACAACCACAAGACAAACTGTAAATATGTACACTTAATGCAGAGCATAAATACATCGAGCTCAGCCCTGAGGGCAAAACTTTCTTAATTAGAGACAAAAAAAACATGAGGGTGCCTTCCATCTAAACAAGCTGGGAATTTGTAGAAACTGAAAAGCTAAAAGATGTCAAGATAAAGAGATTTATGGAGGACTGAATGTGGTTTAAAGGTGGTTGGGGGGCCAACCATCCTGCTTTCAGGGTCTTTGTTTACACTAGAAGTACAGTATTCGATATATTTTCATTGGCCATATGTAAATAGCTGTTAAAAAGATGTCCATGAATTAAAATGATTGTAGGTTTAGGTGTAAAAGGATATTCAGGTTTCAGGACATGAGGGTGAAATGTGATTAGGATTTACGAGATCAGTTAGATTAAAGGCAATAAATAACTTTGTCTTTTAATGAAAAGCATAATTGTTTCCGCTCTTTGTCCACATCTCCCAGGTCAGTCCTGGAAGGCCCTCAGTGCCACAGACAAGCGGCCGTTTGTGGAGGAAGCCGAGCGTCTCCGTGTGCAACACCTCCAGGATCACCCAAACTATAAGTACCGACCTCGACGCAAAAAGACCACCAAGAAGCTGAAGCGAGTGGAACCCGGGCTCCTGCTGCACAGCCTGGCACAAGGTGGGGCCCCGGCTCTCGGTTTGGGCCCCGGCGTCGGCCCTTTGGCTGCTGATGGCGTATCTGGTGCTGCTGCTTACGGCCACCCGGCCACCCACACTCCCCACCACCATCACCCCCACCAGCTGCTGCCGTCTCTGGGCCACTTCCGGGACCTTCCGGCGCACGGCGACCTGGAGAGCTACGGCCTGCCCACCCCGGAGATGTCGCCGCTGGACCTCCTGGAAGACGGAGCCGGAGAGTCCGTGTTCTTCCCCCAACACATGCAAGACGAGGCGGGGATGGGAGGCTGGAGCGGTTACCACCGCCTTCACCATCACAACCCACATTACAGCCAGCAGCACTACAACAACAGCCACAGCCACCACAACGCCATCGGCGTCAGCGCCAGCTTAAACATCGGGATGAACGCAAGTCTCAGTCCAAGCAGGACTTCCAGACTGGACTCTAGAATAAGTTCTGTTGAATCAAATATGACATCAAGCATTAGCTCAGTTAGCGCCAAGCTACCTCCTTCTCATGCTTTCAGTCATCAGGTCCCCTTAAGGACTCCTGTGAAATGTCCTCCACCTCTAGCCGATTCCTCGTCTCCCGTTTCCTATCCTCGCCCGTCCTTCAGCATCCCTGAGCCGGTCAAATGCCAACAAACGCCTCTGAGCACAGCGCCTGTCGGGTATCTGAACCAAATGTATGGAGGCACTGCGTCCAGTGCTGCGCACTTCACTCCCTCTCATCTGGGACAGCTTTCCCCTCCTCCTGAAACCTCTTCCTCTTCCTGCTCGTCCTCCTGCATCCTCCCTGCATCCTCCTTCGGTCGCTCTGCACACTCGGACCAGTCCAGCCTGGAGGCCGGCGGCCACATGGGCTCTTCCTCTGCTGAGTTCTGGTCTGAGGTGGACAGGCATGAATTTGACCAGTATGTCAACATGGGACGGAGTCGAGACGAGCCCTACGGACTTGTTGGAGGGTGTGGAGGAGGGTCAAAGGTCCTGGGTGGGTGTAATGCCATCGGAGGCAGTGGCAGCAACAGCATCATTAGTACTATTATTAACAGGGACGTCAGCAGTATTATGAGCGGCGCTGGTGGCTGTGATGATGGAAGCAGCCCTCTGATATCTGCTCTCTCCGACGCCAGCAGTGCCGTTTATTACAGCGCCTGTATAACTGGATAAATACAGAATCTCATCTCGCAGCCTTCAATGCATCTGCAAAGAAAATTCAACATCAGAACTTTATTGAAGTCAGTGTCAAGTCATCTCCTTCTCTAAAACTGCTTGAGTTTGTTTTTAAATGTGAAACAAATGTTGAACTTTACTCTGGGCCCTTTGCCAGACAGTTTATTTAGATCTTGGATTATTAATTATATAATTTGCATTGTAAAAAGATCAGACAAGAAAAACAAACCATGACATGTTGCTGAAATATCTAATCAAACACTAAAAGACTTCATATTTCCAACAAATATCTTACTTTTTTTCATACTCTCATGTTTTTGTCAGATTCATTTTGGGTAATCAACAAATCTGATCAGTCAGTGGTGCTACATATTGGAACTAGACTCACTAATGATCAAAATCTGCTGCTCTCTCCATGTCATTGTGCTTCGCATCAATATGTACTTTAGAAATTACAATAATAGCTAAAAAATAAACATCCACTGACAAAAACAGTGTAACATCCAGAAGTAATGGCTTCATTTGAGCAATAACAAGTCACCTGTAAGGGCGTTAAGTATTGTTACCTGAAGTAGAAAGATAAAGTCCCAAACGGCATTCGGAGCATCCAACAGTCCGTTAAAACTCTGGTGCAATCTCCGTGCTGTAAGCTGATACTAATTGTTTTACGACAGATTCTACAAAATCCAAAATATTTCCAGTTATCTGTAACTTTAAATCTAAATGTCAGAAACTTTCAGGATGATCCATGAAAGGGAATGAAGATGAACTCAGTGGGTCGGGGGCCGCTAACCCAGAACAGACCGCTGATGTCTCCCACAAACTGTTTTACAAGTCAGGGTGGGTTTTCTTTCTCCATGTAATACATCCCGTTCCCTTCCTCAGCTCAGTTCATCCGAGGGTCTTGTGTCAAATGGCAAATATAATATTTTGTGATTTAAAACATGTCTTTGTCTACCGGCAAGCAGATCCTCTGATGATCATTTCAAGACTTGCTTTATCTTACCACAAATCCTCTGATTTACCAAACGCATCGCTTGTTGAAACAAAACAGTTTATCCACGTTAAGTCTGCAGATGATAGAAGCTCAGGTTCTGAAATACTTCTGGAACACATCAGAGAAAATATCTTCAACAAAAAGTCATTGTCGCTTTCTCTAACTTTGAACTCTTGCAACCGGATACAGGCATACATTAAAAATTTTTATGATTGTTTGTTGTATTTTTCTTTTGGAAACTATAGGTTTCATGTAGTCAGACTGTGTATATTGATTCAGTGCTTTTTGTGAAAGAGAGATTTAGACTATGAAATGTTCTCTTTGCACTGCATTTAATGTATTAGCTGTATAGAAGGTATAATACTTTTTCAAGATGAAATATCTATTGTTTGAAATATGTTTTTGTACAGAAACAATCTTATTTTTCTGAAAGGAAGTTTTTGGAATGATATTTACTAGCTTTCTTGCTGGAAGTAAGACCAACATGTTGTTTTTATATTTGTGTATCTTATGGTGCTAGCTAGCCTAGCTTGGCTAAAGGATGAAAACTGGAGAAATGGCTGCACACACCTGTAATAAAATCCTAAAGTTTACCCTCCAATATTTACTAAACATTCCTCCAAATACCAACAAAGTGTTGTTGCAATTTGTTGTTTTTTTTTTTTTTTAGATAAATCAGGTTTTCCAAAAGTGCCACTATTTAGAGAGGCTAACGATTAGCAACACTTTCATACAAAGGAAAAACACGTTGAACTTTTTTTTTAGCAGTTTTTGGCTGAAATGTAATTGAATAACTTTACAATTATTGGCACCACTTTAAAGAAAAGGTTAAAATATATTTGTTGATTAAGTATGAAGCCGCGTTAGCATTCTCTCTGTCCTGTAGCAGCTTTGTGAACAGAGAAAGAAAAACAAGAAGCCTCTTGAAAGATGGAGCCTGCATCTGTTCTGCATTAGTCTCGACGACACTGCTTGTTTCTTGTTTCTTGATGTACATGAAACAGTGGAACAAAATCAAGTATCTCTTACGGAGCCACCAGTTACATTTGCCATGCCATTTCTGAGGTTTAAGACTTCTTTCAACTTTTCTTCAGCGAGATACTTACTGAGAAGCAGGAGTTCAAGTGAACTAGTAAAAATAAGTTTCTACATCTGCATTTGACATTCTTCTCTGTTGACACCAAACACTCTTTTTTTCCGTTTTAATTTACTGTGACACAAAAGGACTTCAGAGAGAGACAGGCGTTTTTTGGAATCGTGCAATAACTTTGGGCCTTTTGGTAATAATTATCTAAGAGAATAAAGAAAACACCCAGGATTTTGGGATTAAATCAAAGGACATTTTTCTCAGCAGTCATATAACAAATTAAAACCAGTATTTTCCCAGAAGTGTCACTGGGATGCTTCTAAATCTGCATGACAGGGATAATTTTTAGATTTTCTACAAAGAAAAAAGGTTTTGTTTATGTGTTTGAAAAGGGTGTGTTGGCTGTAAATGGATCTGTTCTGTTGTATACAATAATTGTACCAAATAAACACCTTTAAGAATTTACTTTAGTTTCTGCCTCTCTGTAGTAATAAAACAAAAACCTTTTTATTTTTTATATTTAAGTCAAATTCAACTAAAAGCATGATGGTCATCAAGAGGAGATAAAAGGATTAATTTTATTGCAGATGAATGTCTAAGTCTGAAGTGTGTGTTCTGTCAATAGAGGACATAAATCGCCACGCTGAGGTCTGCGTTGAATGAAACACCAGCAGAAACATCTGAAGCTGCGGCTAAAAAGCATCCGACACATTGAACCTATCAGGTTTATGCCGCCATAATCATAATCATAATCTTCTTAAAAACAATGACTAGAAAAGCGTCAGAAAATGTTCTTGTTGATTTTTTTTGTGGATATTCAGATAAAAAAATATTTTCCCATGAATAAAGCGTTCAAGATGTTTATAAGGCAATACGCGTCTAACTGTCCCTTTATTTTCTTTCTGACCTTATTTTGTTTACTTTACGTTTCTAAATCCATTTCATTAAATCTCCGTTGGGGCAGAACAAGGTTTGGACATGTCAACCGGTCTGTAAAAGATGACCAAACATCGTGTGGTTGGGAATTCAGGCATGTTTTCCTACAGTGACTCGTGTACTTTCAGCTCTTGGTGTGTGACTGCGTGTGTGTGTGTGTGTGTGTGTGTGTTAGCCAGTGTGTTGCTTAGGTAGCTGACAGGAATGTTAGCAACCAGGAGGAAACTCATGTGGAAGTTTGGGATGTTCGGAAAGGGTGTGTGTCCCTCTTTATGTGTGGAAAGTGAAAAGGGGAAGAGGTGTATATTTTTGTGAGAACACCTCACCCGGCTGCTTGTTGCTCTGACTGGAAAAGAAAACAAGGCAAGATTCCCGCTCCTGCAGTTGGAAATTAGAAAACGTGAGATTCTGCCGCAGGCGTTTGAAATTCCCGTTCTCAAAGTCGATAGGCTGCGAGATTTAGATGTTGCTTTGCTGCAGCTCATGTTTCATTAGCAGATCTCTGCAGATTGGATTACATGATGAAGAGGTAATTCCAAACTTTGACTGTGGAGCAGTCGGATCAGAGTCTTCCAGGCCCAACATTTGGAAAAATCCAACTGAAGCTCAAGTCTCTTATGTGTTCATTTATTTGAAGCTTTCTTCAGTAAACTCACTTACATAAACAACAGCATTGTTGTTCATGTCTCATGATGCTTTTCAAGAAGTTGAAACTTCAGTTTCGATGAATGGACCTCGCAGATCCAGGTGAAAGCTAACTACCTTAGCTTAGCTGTAAAGCACTGAAAGTTCACAGACAGGACAAAAACACAACCGTTTCCTCAAAGCCCCAAATCTGATCCCTCCATAGTTAGAATACACCTTCAGTGTCTCCTTTCCTGAAGTTTAGGACCATTGCTACCCCTTTGCACCAGCAGATTGCAACATTTGGTTGCTTTCCCACCGCACCGTCAAACGATTGAACCCTTTGAAAAACCTGTTCCCCTCCTGGCCTATGGGGGCGCTGCACCAAGAACCACTGGAGGAAACATTTACACCTCTGAAGACACTGAACGCAACTTCCTTATTCACCAACAGAAATGGTGGCGTCAGATTTCAGTGTTGAGGATTTCTCCTTTGTCTTTGGGGGAAAAAAAAAAAAAAAACGAGCCAGTTCTCGTAGCGCTAGCACCTGATGTGCGTTTGTTTTGTGGTATTTACCCAGAATGCCATGCATTTTAATGCTGTGTCTGTTTGCAGTTCAGACTTGGCACAGGGTTGTTCCTTCTGGTTTGGGAATCCCATGAGCTCATGTTTGCTTTCTGCAGGTGACGTGGTTCTGCAAACGTCTTCAAGCCGTAACATCAGCTCAGTTCAGCTCAGGCTGTTTATGAAGCACCAGTTCACAACACGTCACCTCAAGGCACTTTACAAACAATTCAAACTAATCATCCAGACTTTCCATTGGAACCAAGTAAGAAAGCAGGTTCCATGTATTACTGAAATTGGTTAAAAGTTTTAAATCCATATTTTATGGGATATTTGGTTACAATTTAAAACTGAAATATTGTGAAATGTATATATGGAATCTGACAGCTACTTGAAATGTCTTTATTCTGTTTTTATGTATGATGTTTTGCATTTTGATGTTTTCTTCCTCTGTTAGTCTTTTTGTTTGTTTATTTTTTTTTATTTTATTAACCATAGATCATCTAGCCTATATCATCTGACAGGAGGACAAACAATGAAATTTGCCCTTGGCTGTATAAACAGTTCGTCTGGGAAGTATTCAAAGCGCATCAATTTTTCCATATTTTGTTATATTACAGTCTTATTCCAAACTGAACTAACTTAAATCTCTTTACTCAAAACTCTGCACACAAATAAACCATTATGATGCTGCAATGTTTTTGAGACTTTTGCAAATTTATCATCGTTCAAAATGTTTATGAATAAACAGTATAACTCTGAAGCAAATAAAAAAAGTGAAAATAAACCAGAAACAGGCAGATTCGTCCCTTTCAGTTGGGAATCAGAATGTGAGGAAA